GCCCCCCCCGCCCCCCGCCCCATGCCGGCGACTCACCGCGGCCGCCAGCTGGCCCCTCCGCTGCCCCCGCCTGCCCGGCCTTGTAGTACGTGATGCCCCGGACCACGGTTTGCTGGTGTGCGGGTGGCTTGGGCTTGGGCGTAGGCTGCGACACCCCCCTGGCCTTTGCGTTATCCTTTTTGGCCTTCTCGGGCTTCAGCTGCTTCTCCTTGGGCGCTCGGGGGGCCGCCCTGTCGCCCAGTGCCTTGCGGGTGCTGGGGTACCGTCCTGCCTCCTTCTCTCGTCCGCCTGCCGTGTCCTGGGGAGGGGGGGGGCACAGCCTGGTCAGACCCCTTCCCCTCCCACCACCGTGCCGGGCAGTGGGCGCAGGCACCGGCCCTTGGCTGCTGGCACGGTGCACCCCGATGCATTTGCAGGAGCTGCCGGCACCCGCCGCAAGCCCAGCCAAGCTCGGCTCTGCCCCGCGGCAGAAGCAGCCCAGCAGCACTGGCCATGCCTGTCAGTGGCTGAGTCCCCGGGGCGTACCTGTGCCTTGCTCTCGGGGACGGCAGCAGCATCCTTCTGCAGCAGCTGGTAACCCAGGTTGGAGATCTCCTTCTTGATGCTGATCATGATGTCGGAGTAGTTCTCGTAGCGTCTCATCTGGTCGGTGAGGTGCAGGACGCTCTCCTTCATGAAGTCGTTCTCCCTGCTCAGGTTGGTCTTGATGGTCTGGAGGAGAGGAAAGGTTGGAAGAGCTCACGGCACACCCAGACGGTCCCGAGCAGCCAGACAGGACGTGCTGCACGGGACGGTGCCTGCCAGAGCTCACTCACCTCCTCCAGCGTGTTCATCTGGGCCACCACCTTGCTGATGTAGGAGTGCACCTTCATCAGGTCCATGCTGTAGAGCGTTCCCTCCAGCAGGTCCACCATGGACTGCAGCTGCAGAGGGAGAGCAGGGCTGGGGCATGGGCCATAGGGCACGGGGCAGGGCTGCGTAGCCGCTGCGGATGCCCCCCCGCGTCCCCCGTCCCCGCTCACGGCCGGAGCGCAGGAACCGCACTGCTCCGTTGCCCTGTGGGTCTGCCGGGGCAGGGACGGGGAGAGTGGGCTCCTGCGCGTGGCAGGGGGGTGTCTCTGGCCCCCAGCCCATGGTCCCGCCACACTTGCAGGTACCTTGAAGAGCTCGGGCGCCTGCTTCTTCAGCTTCTCCATCTTCCACTCGTTCTCGCAGGGGTTGAGCGAGGAGGGGGGGGCCGTGCAGGAGCACTTGCAGTCGGCCCCCGAGCTCACCGTCTCCACCGTGTAGAAGTCCTCCACCCGCATGCTGCCATTCCTGACGCGGCTGCAGGCGTCCTTGCTGAGCGGCCGCAGGATGCACTTGCAGCGGCAGTCGGAGCCCTCCGAGGTCATCCGGACCTGGTCCGCCTCACCCAGCGCCTGCGGGGACACCGGTGAGCCTGGTGTCCCACCCAGGCGTCCCACAGGGTGCTGATGACCCCGGCAAGCCATCATGGCTGACTCCCTCTCTGCTGCATGCCCAGAGGTCCCCCACTGCCCCTGGGGCTCCTGGCCATGCCCCGAAGAGCGTGGGGCATCGTCTGTCCCAGAGCACCCTGTCCCACCACCCTGCACCGGGATGACGGTGACAAAACCCGGGCGGCCGCTCATCCCCACGGCCACCAGAGCGTTTTGCGCCCCAGGTACTCTGGTCCTATTTCTGTAGCTGTTGCCCAGCCTCCAGCAAGACCCGAGCGAGCAGGGATGATGGCGAGGAGACCCAGAAACGCCTCTGCCCCCCCCCGCATCCCCAGCCCCAAGGCCACACAGGGTCCGTTGTTCGTGGTGACACAGAGCCACCTCGGGGCGAGCTCCACCCCCCCCAGACTCCCGCAATGGCCCGAGGCACACACTCAAGGACTCCCTTGTTTCCACACATGGCCCTGACTCACGCTACGGAGCCCAGAGTGCTTTTCGGCTGGTTTCTGCAGATAAGGAACCGTCCTCCCCTCCCCGCTGCGCTCGGGAATAAGGCTACGGCTCAGCCTGCCTGGCGGGATGGAGAGCTGTGTCCCTCTCACCCCCCTGACACCGGCTGTGCACCCGTGGGGGACGTCTGGGCTGGCGGGGAGCATGGCCGGGCTGCGCTGGGTGCCCCACGTGGGGATGCGCCTGCTCCGAGCAGCCGGGAGGGTGGGAGAAAGGGGAGAGGCAGCGCGGTGACCCCAGAGGGACAGAGCTCGGTCCGCAGGGACTCTGACTCACCCTGGGAAACAGAACGGTGGCAGAGCTGGGAAAGGAGTTTAGCTCTGGCTCTCCCATCCTCCCCCCCGAGCACAGTGCGGCGTGGGAAAGGGCAGAGGCCCACAGGACCGATGTCCTGCCTGCAGGCAGCACCCACGGCCGCGCAGGCACCGTCCTTCCCGCACCCAACCGGGCTGACGCGCTGGCGGCACCCGGGCAGCAGCTTTCCCTGGGAGCTGCCCACCTGGCAGGGACCCCCAGCTCCCCACAGCCGGGAAGAGGGGCTTCACTTCCTAAAACAGCAGCAAAACCTCCTGCATTTTGCATTTCAAAAAAGCCTCTCTCTTTCAAAGGGAAACGAAGGTCCCGCTGGCTGGGAGGAAAACACCAGGCGGCTCAGGGGGCTGTAAACCGAACAGAACCTAATCAAGCTCGCAGCAGGGAGCAGCAGGGCAGGGAGCGGGACCCCTTCCCCAAACACCACCTCTCCAGGCTCTCGCACCTCCCTGGGGCCCCCTGACCTCCCGATGGCAATGCCGGCGCTTGTGCAAACAGGCAGGACGATTACACAGCCCGGCCGCGAGCTGCCAGTCCCTCCGCACGCAGCCGGGCAGCTCCCCGGCCCCTGATCTGGGCTGCTGTCCTTGCCACAAGCTCTGTCCCTCCATGGGCACGGCGCTGCACGAGGTCCCGGTGTGCACATGCATCCCGGTGGGAGCCCTGCAGGGGGTCCCGGTTTGCTCACCCATCCCTGTGGGAACCCCGCCCGAGGTCCTGGTGTGCCCCATGGGATCCCCACTTGATTTCCCAGCCGGGGTCTCCCGTTCCCACCAACACCCCAAGCGCCAACCGCCATTGAAGCTACCACCGCCGCAGCACAGCCCGACACCCAGGGACACGCTGCGATACCGCCCGCCGTCAGCACCTTCCGCAGGGATGGGCTGCAGCTGCCTGTGCTGGAAGCTCAATTCCCGTGGGAGCGGGCGGCCGCGGGCCGCGCGTTCCCTCCCACCGCCCTTGGCAGCGCCGCGGCGGGAGGCACGCCTGGCGCGCGCGGGCTGGAGCCCTGCGCAGCAACTCCGCCGGGACCAGCCGTGCCAGCGGCTCGCACGAGGGGCCCGGCAAACGGGAGTCTCCCCCGTGGCACGAAGGAGCAACTTCTTCCCCGGAGACCTCCCGGTTCAAGCGGTTTCCCTCCTGCCTCCCAACAAACGGCCCCCGGCCGAGGCACGGTGCAGCCGGCCAGGCGGGCAGCCAGCAGCCCAGGGGCCCGGCAGCCGCTTTTGTCTCGCGGCCGCGCAGCAACAGAAAAATCCGCTCACCTCGGGTCGAGGTGCGAACGGGCGCGGGGGGCCGGGGGGAGAGCGGCTGCCTCTTCCCTGGAGCTGCGTGCGCCCCGCTGCACAAGAGCCGAGGCAGCTGCCTGCCTTCACGCGGGGTAGTAACATTAAACCTCGCTCTGCCTTTTAAACGGCTTCCTTAAACAGGAACCGTATGTTCTATTTATACAGAAAAGGCTATAAACAAGGAAGTCTTAAAAAAAAGGCCCCCGTGCGGTCCATTCTGCAGGGGTCACCCCGCCTTGGTTCATCGGCCAGGCGTCCTCCATCAGCTGGTGCCTGGCTGTACCCCAACCCCGCAGGGGACAGCCTGCACCCCCCGGCACACACGGGACCTGCTCCCCGACAGCGTGCGAGTGGGTCGGGATGTGGGGGCACGAGGCAGCCCCTGCCGAAGGCCAGCATGCTGTGCAGGCCGCTCAGGGTGGGGATCTGACGGCTCCCTAAGAAACCTTTGTGGGGGCTGCTGCAGCCCCACAGGGTCTCCGGGTAGTTCTTTCCCTGAATCCCCCAGCTCGCTGCAGACCCCGGCCCAGGGTGCAGGCGGGTGGGTGCTGCCCCTCCTTGGGAGCCAGGTCCCAGCTCCATGGTGGGGCTGTGCACCCATGGCTGGCGTGGGAGAGCATCCCTGCAGTTTGCTGAGGGTTTCCTCACTCCCAGTTTTACAGCTGGGTAATTTTCCCAGCACTGCCTAGTTTCTGGGACCTCTTGCGAGAGTGTCTATGCAAGCACTGAGTTTGTGCCATTATTTGGAGAAAGCGGGACCTTTGACAATGAACCTTGGCCAGCTTTTAAGCTGTCCTTTGATTGCTGCCAGAGGACTTGTCGCGGAGGAAAACACGCTGTGTTGATAAGCACGCTGCTGCGCTGCGCGGCTCTCGCACAGCTGCTGGAAGGCATGTCCCCATCACGGGAGGGAAACCATGTCACCCTCCTCTTCCTCCCCCTCCCTGGCTTGGCACAACATGTTAAACACGTTCTGCAGCACAGGGAGCCGAGGCAGAGTGGTGCTGGCAGAGCCGGGCCATGGCTGACAGTGGCCAGGCCCTGCGTGCTGGCACTACTTAGGCATCCCGTGTCAGTCAAGGGGACGCGACCATGCGAAGCGCTTGTGTGGCACGCAAATGCCCACTGATGGGATCTCATCCAGACGGCAAGAACTGAAAAAAACACCTCCGAGCACAGCGGGCAGCACCTGTGTGGAGGGAAGGAGAGAGGGAGGGAGGAGGTGACAGCACCGCGCGGGTCCATGGGCTGCGGATCCCAGAGTCCCTCAGACAGCATCACCCCTGAAGCCCTGCCGGGAACCCCCGCGCAGGGCTCCCCCCGGACACCACTCCCAAGCCAACTGTTGCCAACAGCAGCTGTGTTTTCATCTCGCTCTACCAAATGACTCGGAAACTCTTGGCTTTTTAACGCTTTGGTGATCCTGGCATCAGCACCCTTCCTCCCCGGGGGCCGCTCCCAGCACCTTCCCTCCGGGCTGGGTCCCCAGGTCTGGCTCTGGTCCTGCCCGGGCTGCGGACACTGACCCCGTGGGAGAGCGCCCGTGGGGAGGGCTGGAACCGAGGGCTCTTGGATCCCTGGGAGAGGCCGGCTCCCGCACGCTGCCATGTCCCGCTCCCGCTCTCCTCTCATCTCTGTGGGGAAAGTCTTGTCCGGGCCGTTCTTTCTGGCACGGAGGTGCTAACTGCAGAGCTCATCACCGCAGCGCCGGGGCTTGGGCACCTTCCAACCCACCAAGCACGCTCGCAGCCCCAAACATTCCCTCCGCCGAACCCCCCGCAGCGAAGGGAGCACCAGCACCAAAACCGCAACCAGCCCTTCCCTGGGAACATCCCACGCTCCGGACCCGGGGGGCAGCCCGGGCTCGGCGCGGGGGGGGGGAACGCCGGCTCCCCCCGCTCCGCTCCCCCGGGGCCGGGGGGGGGCCCAGCCGGAGCCCGAGCGGGTCTGCCGCCCGAGCGGAGCTCGCCGGGGTATCGCTGCCCCCAAAACCTGTTCCTGCAGGAAAACACCGTCTGTGCCCGCCAGAGCGGGGAGCCCCGGCCCGGGGACACGGGACACACACGGTCCTCGGTTCCCGGCGCAGGGTGCGGTGCCGGGGCCGGGCTCACGCCGCCCGCTCTGCCCGCGGGGGTGCCGGGCTGCTCGGGCACCCC